ACACATAATGTGAACAATATTAAATCTTTGTTATACTAGCAAAAAAAAAAAAAAAAAAAAGCCTGAAAAAAAAAAAAAAAAAAAAAGAAAGCAAGCAGCCAAATGTCCCTCCACAGGGACAGTAATATATGTCACATTTATCCTTCAGAACCACAGTCACCCTTACAGAGGTGAACCATAATATAAAGTCTCCCAAAACCGAGCGTGGTGGTGCATACCTGCAATCCCAGCGTGGGGGAGGCTGAGGCAAGAGGATCGCCGCAAGTTTGAGGCCAGCTTAGCCTGCATAGTGAGTGCAAGTTCAGCCTGGGCTACATAGGAAGACCCCGTCTCAAAGAAAACCACTTTTTCTTTTTTCTTTTCTTTTAAGTGGCGGTGCATACCTGTAGTTCTAGCACTCTGGGAGGCTGAGGCAGGGATATTATGAGTTCTAGCCCAGCCTTGGAAATTTAGTAATTTAGCAAGATCCTGTCTCAAATTTAAAAAATGAATAGGGCCAGGGATGGATCTCCATGCGAAGGTACTGGGTTCTGTACCCACTATTGCGCAAAAACAAAAAAAAAAAAAAAAAAAATCCAATCCCGGCCTCTTTGCCTTGAGTCTGTCTCATGCCCTGGGGAAGGTGCTGCCGCCAACCCGACTTGTCCAATGAGAGGGAGAGACCGAGGGGGCGTGGGCAGACCCCAAGTGGAGAGGCGTCAGCGGCTCACTTCTGGTTCGTCCTCTGGGCAGTGAATGGGTTGCTGGGGGGAGCCCAAGCTACCTCCGGTGGGTGGGTGGAGGCAAGGATCTCCCCGGCAGAGGACTGGACGCTCGGAGACGCCTGAGCAGGAACATCGCTGCCCAGAAAGAGGCTGGTACTCACAGCGGCGGCCGGCAGGGTGGGTGAGCTGGCCGGGAGGCAGTGAGGCCTGGATCGAGGCGGACCTGAGAGCCCGGGAGCAGGTGGGATTCAGGAAATGGGAGACTGCAGAGTCCAAAGCGGGATTTACTGTCACATCCCCTGAGCACCTGCCAGGTACAGGAGCGGGGCACAGAGGGCCACGATGTGGGCCCTTTCTTTTTGTATTTAGTACAGGATCTCACTACACAAATCAGACTTGTAGTGATTCTCCTGTTTTCAGCCTCCCAAGTGCTGATCACAGTCTCAGTCATGCCCAGTCTCAGTTGTGGTCTGGCACAGCACACCAGGGATCGAATGCCGGTCACTGAGCCTGCCTAAGCAGGCACGTTAGCCCACTGAGCTATCTGGCTGGCCCCTAGGTGCTGCTTTCTAAAAGGATGACAACTCAGTGGCATAGAGAAGGAGGCCGGGGACCCTATGATGTGACTGGCTGTGGGGTCGCTGGAGTTGCCCCACCAGGCTGCAGACAGAGCTGCCAGTCACCTCCCCGAGAGGAGCCAAACGTGGGCAAAAGGCAGATTTCAGAGGAAGGGGGAGGCTAGGCTTAGGTGTGAATGTGGGCAGTGCGCACAGTGTGACCATGATGGTGTGACCACGGACAGGAAGGCTGGGGTGTGACACAGATCTTGTGACCTTTGTGCTTCCCACAGGTGACATTGGCATTTGTTCATAGTGCTGTTTCATTTTTCTTTGCTGTGCTGTGGAACTGGGACTGGACCCAGGGCCTTCACTCTGAGCCCCACGCCCAGCCCTTTCCAGTTTTTATCTTGAGGCAGGTCTTTCTAGTGGTTAAATTACCCAGGCGGGGCTTGAATTTGTAATCCTTCTGCCTCTGCCTCCCAAGTGCTGGGATTACAGGCTGCAGCACCACATCTGGAAGGCCATCATGGAAGGCCATGATAGTTTTGCTTTGTTTTCCCCGATCCTGGGGGTAATTCTCATCACTGTGGTGAAAGGCTTGCTTCTTTTTGTTATTTCACTTCCCTGCTCCCCTTTCTACTCCTGTTGGATTGCGTGTCTTGCTCTTTCTGACTTCGAGGACCCCTGCAGTGCATGGGTGCGCATGGGTGCCGCCCTGTGGGGTCACAGCAGCTCCCAACACCGGGCCGGCCGTACGCAGGAGCCAGCTATGTGCCCACAGGTGGCCCTGCACAAGCCCACCACTCCCCGCCCCACGGCCCTCCGGCCTCATGCTGCCCCTGCACCTCCCAGGTGGTGACTGACGACAAGTACGAGGTCTCCTCCGACCCTGAGACCAGCATTGTCATCTCCTCCTGCGAGGAGCCCAGGGTGCGGGTCACCGTGTCTATCACCTCACCTCTGATGCGGCAGGACCCCTCTGCGGACCGAGGTGCGGCCAGGCCCTTCTGCCCCACACTCCCAGATACCACTCACATCCCCCTCGGGCTGCAGCGACAGCTTTTGGCTCCTCCCCCGCATGCTGCTGGGTGCACAAGAGCTAAGCGTGTGGAGCAGGGACCCGGGTGCCCAGGAGGCCGAGGCAGCAGAGTCCTGAGGTCAGGCCAGCCTGGGCTACGTAGACTGGGTCGGCACAAAATCAAATAGAGAAAGAAAGGCCTTCTCCCTACCTGGATGGGATAATTGTGATTTTCACTAAGGCAAAGACAGTGTTTTGGCAGTGGTGCTCTGCAAATGAATTTGGAGCTGTTCGTGATCAGTCATGAAGTTCTCAGACCTCCACTGGCTTGTTTGTGTGTTTTGTTTTGATCTGTGAGACAGGGTCTCACTGTGCACTTCAGGCTGGCCTTAGCTCACTGCTACAGAGCACAGGTTGGTCTTGAACTTGCTGTGATCCTCCTGCCTCAACCTCTCTAGTGCTGGGATGATAGCCGTATGCCCCCACACCTGGCTTCATGAGGTGTGTTCCAGGGGAAAAAATTACTTTTTTATTTTTTTTTTAATTTTATTTATTTGTGTGTGTGTGTGAGTGTATGTGTGTGGCCAGCTCAGCCCACCATGGGGCGGGGCTGGCTGGCATGTGGTGCTGGGGGATTGAACCGCAGTCCCTGTGCTTTGCTGAGCTTGTTCTAAGTAGGTGCTTTAGACCACTGAGCCATCTCACCAGCCCCACTTCTTTTTTAATTATTATTATTTAGTTAGAACTGAAAAAAAAAAAAAAAGAGCTGGGTCTGGGGCAGTGGAGGAAATGAGTCAGAGCCAGTGGCCAAGCTCTGTGGCCAGGCCGCAGGACATTTCCTGGGGGCAAGGACACCACAATCCCCTCCTCTTGTACCTGCCCGCACTGGGCCCTGCTGCCCCTGACCAGGTGAAAGCAGGCAGCAGTGGTGGGAACCAGCAGATGTGGGCAGTGTCCTGTTGCCACCAGGGCCACGTATCATGTCACAGGCATGGGTGGGGGGGCGGACTGAAAGCAGAGGTACCACTCCTGGGGAGTGGAGCAACTGTCACATCTTACACCCTGGGCGCAGCTCCAGAACCTTCTAGAACAGTCTCCAGGCCAGTTTTCCAGACCCAAGCCATCCTTGAGCCCTTAGTGATTTTTGTTTGTTTTTGCAGTATGGAGGATTAAACAACATTTAGTGATTTTTTTTTTGGGCAGAACCGGGGATTGAACTCAGGCCCTTGCGCTTGCCAGGGAAGCACTTATTCCACTGAGCCATCTCCCCGGCCCCTATTTAGTGATTTTTATTTTTAATTTTGGGAGAAGGTATAGCTGAGGGTCACAATGGGCTGATTCAATTGATATTCTTTTATTTTTTTTATTTATGTATTTTTTGACAGAACCAGGGATTGACTGATATCCTTTTAAAACTGAAAATGATCATAAATGGAGAGCTGTTATTGGGTGTCATTAACAGTCACCTAGAAAGTAAACACGATGGGGAGCCAGATGTGAAGTCATACAACTCATCCTAGCCACAGAGGAAGCTGAGGCAGGAGGGTGCAAAGTTCAAGGCCACTATGGCCAACTTAGCCCTGGAGCAACAGTGCATCTCAAAATAAGAAAATAAAAAGGCCCGGGCTGGGGATCACTGGGAAAGCCGCAGGTTCCAGCCCCAGGGTTGCAAGATAACTGTATGGGTTCCTAATGTCCTGACTGGACAGATGAAGAGGTCCCATGTCCTTCTGGAGTACCCAACATCCCCCTAACCCCTACCCTGTGTGAGCTGGCCTGCTCAGAAAGCACCCTTCCTGTGGCTGCTGCCCATGTCCCCTCCCAGCCTGTGTAGGAAGACACCCCTCACCACGCACATCTGCCCACACCACCTGCAAAGGAAGAACTTGGCCATGTCCTCCAGGCAGAGGGCAGTGTGGGTGTTCTAAGCCCCAGAGGAAACCAGCCACATCCTGGGACCAGCCAAAACCAAAACCTTGTATCTCCCTCCTTCCCTCCATACCGCCCTGTCCCCACTGACCCTCTCGTTCTGTCTCTTTTTCAGTACTGAGAATGAAACCCAAGGCCTTCCCTCTGAGCTCTGTACCCAGCACTTTTTTTTTGGCAGAACCAGGGACTGAACTTGGGCCCTTGCACTTGCCAGGAAAATGCTTATTCTACTGAGCCATCTCCCTGGCCTCAGTTTTCACTGTTATTTATTTATTTATTTTTGGTGGTACCAGGGATTGAACTCAGGACCTTGTGCTTGCCAAGCAAGCACTTATTCCACTGAGCCATCTCCCCAGCCCCGAGAACTTTTTATTTTGAGACACTTTCTCCCAGTGGCCTGGGCTCACACTTGAGACCTTCCTGCCTCTGCCTCCAGAAGAGCTGGGATTAAAGGAATGGGCCACCACACTGGGCCCACATCTCAGAATGCATTGGGGAATTTCTAGAATCCAGGCCTAATCTGAAGTTTCCCATCTTAAAGTTCACTGGCTCCCCTTTGGGGACAGAAGCAAAGCCAGAGAGCTGGTTCCCAGGCAGTGAAGCCCTTTGGAGAAAGGAGGGCTTTGTGGATCCTTGACAGATAAATAGAACAAGGTCCAGGTGCCCCATTGAGGCAGCAGGGGCACTGCCAGACCGCCCCCCACAGCCTGGGGCTCACAACCCTCTTCCTTACAGAGGGAAAGGAGGATGAGCAGCCTGACCCTGACATCCTGAGCCCTGAGAAGTGCCTGGAGGCCCTGGCCGACCTTCGCCACGCCAAGTGGTTCCAGGTCAGGGGTGTACGGGTGGGGTAAGGGAGAGTGGGCCATGCCACCAAGCAGGGCCCCTGTGAGTGGCTGCTGGCCACCTGAAGGTGGGTGTTGCTGGGTGACGTGGTGTGCCCCATCATCCCTGCACTCTGGGAGGCCGAGGCAGGAGAATCCTAAGCTAGATCCCAGCCTGGGCAACTCAGCAAGATGCCATCTCATAATAAAAAATCAAAACCCACACAGCTGAGGCCCCCAAGAGCTAACCCTGCACTTCCTTCCAAAAGGCGAGAGCCAGCAACCTGCAGCCCTGTGCCATCGTCATCAGGGTCCTGCAGGACCTCCGCCAGCGAGTGCCCACGTGGGGGGCCCTGCCAGCCTGGGTAAGGCAGTGCAAAGCACTTGGGGCCCCCCAAAACATTCCCAGGAAGCTCTTCTATGCCAAGGAGCCAGATTTCATCACCCAAGCAAAAGCACCTCTTCCCTGGGTGCAGGCTGTTATCCTGGCCCTCTGGGAAGCTGAGGCAGGAGGATCACTAGCCCCAGCCCAGCCTGGAAATTTAGTGCCTTAGGAAGACCCTGTCTTGGAATGCAAGTAGAAAGGGCTGGGGATGGAGCCCAGTGTGAAGGCCCGGGCTCCATCCTCAGGACTACGACCAAACGCCAAAGCACGCCTCCTCCCATCCCTTGGGGCTCACAAAGTGACCATGTGAGCTTCAGCAGAGCCAGGCAGATAAGGGAGGATGGGCCACTGAGGGCCTGGGCTGGGCAGGTGCTGGCCATAGCCTCATTTGACTGTCACTGTCTTAAGCCCCAGCTGCAGGGAGGCAGAGACAGTGCAAATGTCATGCTGAAGCGGGCAGCCGTCGTCTATGCCTGGCATCAGTGGGGAGCTGGGCTTGAAGCCCCCCGCACTGATGTCCCTCCACAGAGCCCATCCCAGGAGACAAGAGGCCCTGCTCCCCTCAGCCACCCCACCCCACCCAGAATGGCACAGTGCCCTCAGGCTACCTGCACACATGTCCCCACTGTCCCCTCAAGAGTTGAATGATAGGGACCTGCCAGGCTGGGAAGGCATCTTAGAGAAAGGGTACTCAGGGCATAGGTGAGGGTGGTGGGGAAAGGCGGGTACAGGGGTGGGGAGCTGCCCATCTTCCAGGAAGGGCAGGGAGACACAGCCTGAGGCACCTGTGACCCAGGGTCCCCCACAGTCTCACCAGATGGAGCTGCTTTGGGTGGGTAGGGGCTGGCTGAGGTCCCCGAGAGCATGGGTCCCCCCCCCCTCGTGTCCCCTTTGTCTTCAGGCCATGGAGCTGCTGGTAGAGAAGGCATTGAGCAGCGCATCCCGGCCCCTGAACCCCGGGGAAGCCATGCGGCGGGTCCTGGAGTGCGTGGCCACGGGCGCACTCCTGGCAGGTCAGTCTGAGGATTCTGGCCCTGCGCATGTGCGCTTCAGCACATGTAGGCGGGTGATTGCAGCCGGGCCAGGGCAGGAGAGTGGCACGCCGCCCCCAGGGGACAGAGAACTGCCTACTGGGGCAGGAAGGGGTCCACCCTTGGGATTGTTCCCATCATGAGGCCAGCTGATACCTGATTCAAATTTACTTGAATGGACATGTCATGTATGCAAAAGAACTGTGCAGAAATCAGCTAGCTTGTCCAGCTCTCGGTTTCTAATTTGGGGAGGTGGCGTCGTCACAGCACACTGCCTAGGGTGGTTGGGAACAGGACACTGAGAAGGGTGATGCGGGATGATGCCCGGGGGACCAGAGGATGACACACTTGCCATCCCAACACTCGGGAGGCTGAGGCAGGAGGACCACAAGTTCAAGCCCAGCATGGACCATTTAGCCACTTAGTGAGTCCCTGTCTCAAAATAAAAACTATAAAAAGGACAGGGGATGGAGCTCAGAGGGAAAGCCCTCAGGTCCATGCCCAGAACCATATACTCAAAAAGGGTAAGCTCTGTACCACAGCATGTTTGCCTGGCACACTCGTGCCCAGCACATACACAGGTGGCACACGGGGCAAGCCTGTGAGTCAGGGGCTATGGGAGCAGACCCAGACCCCGGTAGTTCCCCGGCATGGCACAGTGGCCTGGTTACCGGCGGATCCTCACCAGGGTGACCTTCTTCCTTTGCTGTCCCCACTTCCCCCTCACAAAGATGGGCCCGGGATCCAGGATCCCTGCGAGAAAGACCGGATTGATGCACTCCACTGCATGACCTTGCAGGAGCGGGAGGACGTGACGGCCAGTGCCCAGGTAGGGGCTGGCCTAGCAGTCCTGCAGGGTCTCGGGCACAGGGGAGCAGCTGGGGACCCAGCCAGCCAGAGTGGGGCTGGCAGCTCAGAACTATGGCTGCCATGGGGACTAGGCCCAGACTTTGGGTCCTGCTGGCCAGGGCTGCTGGAGCCCCACCTATATCACATTGGGCAGCACCCAGCCTCAGCCTCTCCTTCCTCATTTGGAAAGCTTTTGTAAAAAAAAAAACCTGGTCAGGCCCATGCCTGGAAGCAGCACTCTGGAAGACCAAGGCAGGAGGATCTTGGTTTTGAGCCCAGCTGGGGTTCAAACCTGCCTCAAAAAATGAAATAAATAAAAAGGTTGGTGGCCCCAGCAGGAAGGCCCTAGATTCAGTCTCCAGGATCACAAAACAAACAAACAAAAAGACAACCCAAACCACAAGGTCTCATTTCCATGGGAGAGGCTAAGTGAATGGCAGCCAGGACCTGGGGCCCCTGTGGTGAGGAGGGAAGCGCCAGGGCTTGGGTCCCAGCTGAGTCCCTGTCATCTTCCATGACCTGCCCCTTCCCTGGCCTCCCTGAGAGCTCAGAAGTTCAAGACAGCACACAGAAGTGCGCCCTGTGACCTCAGGGTTCTGTCTGTGGGCACCCCGGGGGGCAAGGCACAGCAGAGCATCCTGACGGGCCTGTCACTCACAGCACGCCCTGCGCATGGTGGCCTTCCGGCAGATCCACAAGGTCCTTGGCATGAGCCCCCTGCCGCCTCGGCCCCGCTTCCGGAAGAGGCCACGCGAGACCAAGGCAGAGGAGGGTGCGAGGGACAGAAAGAGGGGCCGGCAAGGTGGAGAGGGGCCGCTGTGAGCCACCGCTGGCCCAGTGGATCGGGCTGCTCCGCACACCTGGGCAGGCCTGGCACTTGGGCACCGCTGGCTACACACCGGGGGGCACAAGTGCACAGACCAGCTGCCGCAAGGGGGCATTTCTCTTTTTTAGTTTTATTCTGTCCCTTTCTTTCCAAATACCTGAGAAGTCACACTGGGTGGTGGCCCCAGGGACAGCTCCCTTCCCTAAAGCCCTGTCCCCCCATGGTTGAGACCTAAATGCTGGTATTTCTTGGTGGCTTTAAATTCCCCTGTTGTGTGTGCACCTGAAATAAAGTAGGTGGCCTGTCTTGGGTCCCCTGTGTCAATGTCGGGGTGACTGACTCTGAAGCTTCCAGAAAGGACCCCTAGGTGGGCTGGGGGTCTGTGGAGCGGGCCCTGTCCCCATGGTATGGCCAAGGTCCATAGAGTCCCAGCCCCAATCTTGGCTTGCTGTGAACAGACCCCAGCTCTGAGGTTGCCAGGGCATGAGCCAGGTTCACCTCCAGGACACCTGTGACCCCCCCAGTCCTATCCTGACCTAGTCACATTGTGGCCCCTCCCTTGCTTCCATTGCTTGTGTCTCCCTCAGGCAGGTGTGCTTTTGTCCTGTGGACACTGGGTGGCTGGCCCCTGCCATACCCAGTCCTACCCCACCTCCTCCCAACTCCCCCCCCCCCATGCCTCAGTGGGAAAGGCCAGTCCTGGATGGAAGATCCCAGGTCAGTGCACTAAAGGACAGCGCCTTAGCCTGGCATGGGGGCGCATGCCTGTGATTGTACTACTCAGAAGGCTGAGTGAGGCAGCCTAGGCTACAAAGGGAGCTCAAGGCCAGCCTGAACTACATAGTGAGACCCTTTCTCAAGAAGACAAAATTAAATTAAAAACATAAAAGGGAGGCACCCTAGGCCGCATGTACACACACAAGGATACACAGCCAAGACACTGGCCAGGGTGCAGAGGCTTGAGGCTCCCTGGAGGAGGCGGCTCCTCAGCCGAGTTCTGGGAGATGGTTGTGCCCCAGAGAGCGTCCCTGCAGTGCTCTGAGTCCTTGTCACAAGCCCCAGAGGGCGGGAGAGGGGTTCAGATAAGGACACCAGGCACATGGGTCCTGGGGCTTTCAGGTGGGAAGCAGTGCCTGGTGGGTGAAAACACAGGGCACCCCTGGCAGGCACAGGGAGGCCGGTGGCACACGGTGGAAGTGTGACTTTGCTGGAGCTGGTGGCTAGGAGAGCAAATAGAGGACACAGGTGACAGCTCAGATGTCCTAGAGAGGCTCTGTCACAAGGGCAGGGCCCATCAGAGTGGTGGGTAGAGCTGCCCCTGCTGGCCCTGGCCACCACAGTTGCCTGGGGATGGGTGCACAGAACAGTCCCAGCCTCCTTCCTGTCAGGCCCTGGCTCCGCCACATCCTCCCAGCTGGACAGGGGGATTCCTTGGCCTTCCCGCCCTTTCCTAGGAAATCCAACCCTTTCCACTTCTGATCTCTCCACCCTTGGTAGCAGTTGCTGCACCATTAAGGAATGCCCCTCCTCCATCAAGAGTAAACCCCAGGCCCAAACAAAGCCTCTTCTGGCACTGACCTGCCACCCTGTCCCTTGGTCACTCCACCTCAGACCCATGTTCTCTGCAGATTCACAGAAGAACCAAACTGGGTCCTGCCCCAGGGCCGTGGCACCTGCTACCCCCAAGGCCTGGTGAGCTCTTCCCTGAGGCTCCACCAATGTCACCTGCTCCGAGGCCTCCCTCCCACGCAACCCCCATCCAGTCTTTAGAGCAGAAACGAGGAGCGATATGAGCAGGCCCGGTACAGGCAAGGAGCCGAATAAACAACTGTTGGAAAAGCTGGGCGTGGTAGCGCTCTCCTGTAGCCTGTAATCCCTGCACTCGGCAGGCTGAGGCAGGGGGATCAGTGCGAGTTTCAAGGCCAACCTGGGTTACAATGTGAGCTCCTAATGTGGACTACATACTGAAACCCTGTCTTAAACAGACCAAAAACAAAAAACAAAACCCACCCATAATTCTCTGTTGGATGCTTAGAGCTGCACAGTGACACTCAGCAGAGCTTCCTTGCAGTTATGGGGATGCCATGTAAGAGAAAAGGGCAGGGAGGGGCCTGGCGTGACCCCAGCTGCAGGGAGAGACCCCACCCGGCGGCAGCGAGCACGTCCCTCCTCCCTTCCCCAGCATGGCTCTCTCAGAAGCCACCCAGCCCCCCACCGCTCGCGTCCCTGGCTCCCCAGGAAGGCAAATTGTTACTGTCACCACCAGGTGGCTGAAAAGCCGACCCGCGGAGAAAGGGTTAAGCGGGCCCCCCTTAGCAACTCGGCGGCGCGACAGCAAAATCTAGCAGTTGGTGAGCGAAGTTCGGTCCAGATGGACCCGCCGTCTGGGCGATGGAACTCGCTCAAGGCCTAAATAGCAGTTGCTTTTAACCTCTCCTTCCCTCACCGCCCCCGCAGCCCTGGGGGCACCAGGCAGGGGACCCCAGGACGCAGGCTAGTGGGTGGCGGGACGGCGACAACGCCGAAACCCGAGCCCAAGGCTCCGGGCTGCTCCGCCGGAGGCGCCCCCACCCAGCGCAGCGCTAGGAAGCCGGGGAATCTGACGCCGGCGCGGCGTTGCTAGGAGACGCCGGTGAGTGGGCGGGATGGCGGGGGCGGGGCGAAGCCCTCTTGGGGGCGGGGCGGGTCACGGGGGGTGGAGTCCCAAGGGCCGAGCCTTGGCTCCTGCAGGGTCGGGGTAGCTTGGAGAGTCGCAGCTAAGGAGACCTGGGCCGCGTGGAAATAGGGCTCCGCGGGGGTTGGAAGAGCAGCTATTTCTGCTGTGCGTGTGTCCGGGGACCGGGCAGCTGCGTCTGGGTCCCAGCCGCCTCGTGGTTTGGTTTCTAGGGTCAGGCAGGTGCTTTAGGAATGCAGAGCGAGGCTCTGTGCGTCTCCTACGTCTCGCATCTAGGCAAGGAAGGCGTTCCGGGCAGGGTTTACCCACATCTGATCAGTTTTGAAAGTAAACATGTTGGCAAATCAACACCGGCACAGCCATGTTCATGGCATCACGACTCACAGCAGGCGTAACCTTGAGTGTGCATCAGGAGAAGGAGAGATAAACACAATGCAGCCTGGTCACAGTGGAATATTACCCAGCCGTGAAAAAGAGGGAGGAGTCGGGGAGATAGCGCAGCAGCACAGCACCAGCCTGGCAAGCACAAGATCCTGAGTTCAATTCTCGGTATTTTAAAAAAAAATTTTAAAAAAAGAGAGAAGGAGGAGGAGGAGAAAGAGGAGGAGAAAGAGGAGGAAGAGAACGACGACAACAACAACAACAAGAACAACAACAGGGAGATTATGAGCCCTTGGAGTTGAGCCAGACACAGAGGGGCGCCCACCGCGGCCCCGAGCACTGCCCCACCATCCTCAGATCCACACAGACAGAAGGAGAATGGTGGCCCCTGGCTGGGAAAGGGATGGGGCTTGGCGTTCCCAACGGACAGCAGCTCAGCTGGGGGAATAGATGGACAGCGCTGGAGCTGGACAGTGGGGACGGAGCTTGGCAGGGGAATCTGTGTGTATTTTACCACAATTGACTTGTTCTAATGTATTGGCGTTTTTCTTATTATTAAAAAGAATCCTTGAAGATTCAGAAAAAAAGTGAAAAGGGGGAAACAAGTTTATCAGCTGCCCTTCAACGCTGTTCCCCACCAGCTCCTCTGGACACTACAGTCTTGGTTACAGATTGGCCATTTCTACTATTTTGACTCCAGCTTTTCCCCCGGACATTATAACAACTTTCACACATCACCAGGCTCTTATGTGCTTTATGCATATAACATGATTGAATTCTTGTGCTGATTCTAAGAGATATGCCTTTTCATCAGTGCTGGAGAAGGACCTCTGGGCCTCACTCACGCTAGGAGAATGCTCTACCACAGAGCCACACCTCCAGCCCTTTTGCTTGTTTTGAGACAAGAGTCTGGTTAAATTGCTCAGGCTGGCCTCAAGCTTGAGACCCTCCTGCCTCAGCCTCCAGAGTAGATGAGGTTATAGATATATGTCACCGCATCCAGCCACATCTATTTTTAAACTTTTTAAAAAATTATTATTTATTTATTTAATACAGGGTCTCACTATGCAGATGGAACTCATAGTGATCCTCCTGTCTCAGCCTCCCCAGCACTGGGATTACAGGCATGTGCCACCACATCCTGTTTTGATGACCAGCACAGCAAAGGGCTGGCAATGGCATGTGGTACTAGGGATCAAATCTGGGTCCTCGAATTTGCCAGGCAGGCAATTAGAGGGCTGAGCTATCTTCCCCAAACTTCCCTAAAATACAAACAAACAAACAAACTTCATTTCCAAGGGCCCCTTCAGTTTTTAAAAATGCATTCATCTCTTTGTTTTCAGTGTATTTAGTGCAGGGTCCACAGGGCCTCACTGTGTAGATCGGGCTCCTACTGATCCGCCCATTTACAGCCTCCCAAGCGCTGGGATTACAGGTGCGCAGCAGCCTGCCCAGTCTCCGAAATGAAGATCCTGATAGCCCAAATGTCCACAGGTAGTTTGCAGGAAAGCATGAAGGAGAAGGCATCGGAAGTAGGATGGGAAGAAAAACGGTAGAAGAAGTAAGTGGCCAAGAAACAGGAAGATCAACCAGGAAGGCCCCAGGAGGCAGGGAAGGGCTGCAGGCGGAAGGGAAGAGCTGAAGGAAGGATTGCCGAGACCACAGAAGTGAGTGCGCCTGGCAGGCCAGGATGGTGCAGGCCTGTCATCCCAGCACTTCGAGGCTGAGTCAAGAGGATCAAGAGTTTGAGCCCAGCCTGGGCAGCTTAACGATTTGCAAGACCCTGTCTCGAAGAAAAAAAGAAAAAAAAAAAAATTCTAGGGATGTAGCTCAGTGAGAAGGGCCTGGGTTCCACCCCCAGTCTGGTTAGAAAAGCCACTTCCTCCAAGCTCTGCTATACCTGGTTTATCTCTAACTACTATCAAGGACCTGAGGCACATTGTTGGTGTTGACGGCACAGTGTGTGGTTGGAAAACCACAGAACAGCTAAAAGCTGAGCTTATTTAGGGTTTTCTGGGAAATTCTGCAGGAGGTGAGCGTGCCAGGGTCCTTCTGGAACAGCGCGGGCTGTTACCGCTCAGCGTGGCTGCAGTCATGGCAGGCTGGGCCCTGCAGCCAGGTATGCAGGAAATGTTCTCTGTGGGGTTCAAGGAGTTGCACATTCCTCGAATCCGGGAGCAAATGAAGGGCTTGGGCTCCCTGAATG